CCTGTTGAAAAACTGGTTATACTGGTTAGCTCTAGTGGGAGAGGGTACTTAATGAGCAGGGTGACCTGAATGGGGTTTTGGGTCGCATAGAACAATGTGGATCCTCACTGGAAGCAGTTTGCATTTGGGATGAACATTCCTCCCCTGCCAGATTTCTTCAGGTGGGGGCTGACAACATCCTGTTGGTGTGACCAATAGATCAGTTTCAACCCTTCTGGTTCACAATGTCACAGGTCCCTATGTGAAATGTTTGATAGATTTCACAGATTCTTTCATGTCCCAGAGCATGTAGTGCAATAGAAGGTAAAGTGCTTAATCAGCCTGTTTGTGTTACAGTTGCAGCCGTTGCGACTCACATGAACTTTGAACTGAACAACCTGGAGCCGACTGTTTGTCTCATTAACAACGTGATTGGTTTAAAACCTGAGGCCTTCGACCTGATCCTCCTGGGTGACATGTTCTACGACCAGGCCCTCGCCACCAGCCTTCACAGCTGGTTGGACCGTTGCATCGAAGTCCACGGCACCGAAGTCCTGATCGGAGACCCGGGAAGAGCCCAGTTTGAGGAGCACGGCATCCGACGACTCCTGTGTCAGTTGGCTCAGTTCGAGTTGCCCGAGTCCGTCAGAGAGGAGAACTACGGTCTGACCTGCAGCGGTGTTTGGAGCTATCGTCCTGAACTCTGAGGAACTCTGTAATTAATGTACTCAGCTGCAAAGGACTGCATGAGGTGTTATGGGATTACTTTGTAGTTATACACTCAGGGTCACTCAGTTTTCATTAGTTGCTTCACCAGTGGTGAAAAACAACTGCCGATACTTCCTGATATTTGTTCAATACCCAGGATGCACATAAACAGTATAATAAAGAAAAGTCTGGATAATTTCCTGTATTGTTGCTTTTAATTTTTATTAAATTAACATTTTCTCTTTGTGACTGTTTTTTTTTTTCTTTTTTTTAACTTATGTCTTAATCACCAATTCCTTACATTCAGATTATTTGGAGCTCCACATCTCTAATTTAACAATAAAACAAGGCAATAGTCAGCGATATGGAGCTCAATACCTCAATATCAAATGCATAAATATGTAATTATGGAATAAGAAATCCCATATTGAAATTCTGTGTTTATTTTAAATGTAATATTGACTCTGGGGCTTTGCAGGTTCACACACACACACACACACACACACTGTTAATTATTTAACACAAATCTTAACTTTTGCTTTATTCCACAATAAACAAACAACATTCCTTATTATGCAAGTTTTGAACTCAGAGCCCTGAGACATTAGTAACCGTCTCATTTGTGAGTGGAAGTGAGACCTCTGGGCCTGTAGAGTCCACTTCAATAGAAAGCAATAATGTGGTGACAAATGGCACTATGGGAAATCTGCAGCAAGTAATCATCTTAAGAGAAACCACAAGTGTTATAAAGAAAATAAGCAGCATTTTCTAAAAAAAAACCATTCTGTTTGTGTTCCCAGTGTGGCAGTAATATACAATGTCATTACTTTTTCATGATTTTCCATAACCAAAAGTCATTCCTGTTCTATTGCTGATGTTGTTATGGTCAGAAAAAAATCTTAAGGGACATGAAGTCTTGTTTTATTACAGCAGTGGTTAGTTTAAAGACAAACACAGAGAACCAAAATATAATGTAATTATTATATTAAACATACTAAAACAGAAATTCTAGTGGAGCCAGTGTAAAAACAATAAAGACATTTGTCAGCTGGAAATGGTCTTTGAGAACAAAAGTCATCAAACACCTTCTAATAAATGAATCATTCTTCTAAATAATATGTCAACATTCATGACAATGAAGCAAGACTGAACAATGAAAGTATTAGTATGCACTTGTGTGAGTTGGCAGATGGCTCCTGTTAGAGCTGCACTGAAAGGTTTGAGATCATTCAGATTCAAAGCAGATGTTGGCAATCAATTCAGATTTAGGAAGGCAAACTTTATCTAGTATTCTGACAGCAGGTCAATATTTGAATCAGAGAACGCGTGAACAAGGTTTTCCCAAGAGGAGCGGATCTTCAGCAAATCCTACTTAAGCTTAAAGAGTAATTTCTGATTACTGCAGACTTCCAGAGATGTGCCGCATTATGATAAAGAAAGTTCATTTACCCCATGACACAAGCCGTAAACTCTCGCATAGTTTTTATTTTTACTTTTATTTTAGTTTTAGTGTTAAATACCTCTTATTGTTTTTTTACTTTCTCTATTCACCTGTGCTCATTTATGCGGTCAGGAGATACTTGGCTGAAACAGTAAAAAAGTTATTTGGAACATTAAAGACAGAGGAATACTTAGATGCTTGACACATTTCTGAGGTGTTAATTGTCTTAAAGCACATTCCAGGTAACAAGTGTTTAATTCTCTCAGTTAATTTAGTACAGAATAGGCACAAGGTACAGAGCTGAACTAACGTTAAAGCCTTATATAACCAGAATGGGTCACACCTATTGTCTCAGGTTAAAACAGGGTATTGAATAGTATGTAAAAAATGTGTTGAGGCCAAATTGATCATTTCTGTATGTTTCTCTATAATAGTATATTGTTGCACATATTAACCTCTCAGTCTCAACCCTGTCGTAATCGAGACCAGTGAATCACTTGATTGGACCGCGAACCAGACAGCTGATTCATTCAGGCAACGAAACAGTTGCTGCTTCGTATCTCATTTCTCACTGGAGACTGTATGAGCACATATTGTAGGAGAAATTCTTCCAAAAGACAGAGAATTACTAAGACTCTGAAGAAATTACAAGTCTCTTTACTTCATGCAGCATGGAGAGAAGACCTCAGCATGGTTTTTCTCTACCAGACCTTAAGAATGTTAAGGAATGTAAAGTTCTACTGTTGCCTGGTAAAAGGGGGCCAGCAATTGCAGGCATGCAGCAGCTGTCTCATAGTCCTCGGAGGACAGAGGTCTCACATCCGTTCTCAGCATTGCAAGAGCTGCCCCCACTGACTGTCTCTCTTTAAAAAGACGTTGCAGCATGAGGAAGGTGCTGTTCCAGCGTGTGTCCACCTCCTGAATCAGCTTCATCACTGGACGGTTCATCTGCTCCTGCACTTCTTTGAGCTTCTCTCTTGCTGTTGTGCTGGTTTTAAAGAATGTGACCACTTTGCGTGCCCTTGTGCGTAGGTCTTCTAGGCCAGGAGTCGCATATTCCCATGATACTTCAGTTCAGCTGAACACACCAAGCACTGGACCTGTAGAGAAAGCCATTTGTAAATAAAAATACACAGAAGAACAATTGGTGACCTACTGATAATGCCTCAGGCCTTTGTCAGTAGAATGATCCTTTAATCTTTGTTGGCTGTCAGTAGATTCTCTTCCTCATAACACAAAAATTCCATTGGCATCACCAAATCAATACAGTCTAAAATGTTAATTTCCTACAACATCATTACCATAGATGAACATCCAACATGGTACTTTTGAGTTCAGATACCATCATACATGTATATGACTACATGTGGACTGTGCTGACCTCATTAAACATGTATATGATCTTCTGTAAACCTTACATTTCTTAAAATCCTGCGTGATACACACATACTTTTGTACCCTGCTCAAGAAGGAAGAAAAAGCATGTTGTTTTCAAATACCATCTGTGAACGTCTATCTTACCCAGTCAAAATAAGTTATGTTCAAGGCCGTGAGAGAATTCCTCCCATACATACCAGACGTTACAAACTGTCCTACAAAAGGTGATTGTGTCTATGCTTTCTTTGTCAGACCTGTGAGATGCACTTTGGTGTATTCAGCTCTGTTCTTTCAGATGAAATAGATTGACAATAAAATTCTTTTGGACATTTTGGATTCTCTACTACTGTCCTACTATCCTGCTTTATTAAATAGACAAAACTGTTTGTGTTGTAATCTTTTATTTGTTCATTTCTTCTTGAGGTAAAACACAATTTCCTCCACGAAATGTACCACATAATTCCCCCCTTTAAGGGTGAAAAGCCTCACTCATCACCAGTCCCCATAGTATGAGGCCGGTTCCGCCAAGTCTGCGAGTATCTTAACAGCAGAGGTGGCAGAAGTGCACACATTCTTTACTCAAGTTGAAGTACAGACACTTTTGTAAAAGTGGAAGTACTGATTCAACTTCTTTACTCAAGTAAAAGGGTTTGGTTTCTCTGAAGGACATTTCTACCGGCAGTTTCAGTGCAAACTGTCTGTGTCGCCATGATTCCCCCCAAATGCATTCAAACTAAAGTAATGATGTCTGTTTCCCCAAATGTCCATTTTAATGCTAAAATTCTCCATTACATACTTTTTCTGTTTCTTTTAAGATATGTTTATGATTTAAAGGACCAGTGTGTAGGATTTAGTGGCATCTATCAGTGAAAGTGCAACTAACTGAATGTGAGTAAAAAAAACAACAAAAAGAATAAACTAGTTTCTGGATTCAGGAAAAGTGAGTGATTCCTGTTAAATGAAGTTTAGGTTGGGGAACGAAGACCACGCCTTGCACTCATCTAATTTCCGCTCAAAACGTACTTAAGAACAACTCGACTCAATATTTAGTTGAGGTGGTCTCAAAAATGTTGAACATGTGAATCTATATAATAATGTTTACCATCTTATTAATTTACCTTATTAATAATTTGTATTACTCCCACCCCTTATTCTATTTTATTCCCTTTTTTTATTATTGGCCTATTATTAATTTATGCTCTGACAAAAGTTCAAAAGGTCTCAGGTGAAGTTATGAAACCTCACAAGAGTGAAAAATGAGCAGTTGTCTAAGTTTTCAGACCACAAGGTTGCTTGAGGGTAGTGGGTTTTTAATCCCTGGCGCTGTTCTCTGAACAGTGCGAAACGGACATTTCACCAACAGGCAACAACTGAACTGAGGTCTAAAAATTGGATGAGTCACAAAAAACAACTGAATTCTAATAAAACAAGGCCATTAATCTCCAGCCCTGACTTTTTTCTTTTTCAGTGTGGAGCTTCATGCTCATTAACTGAAGTCAGAAAAACTCTCTAAAAGCACTCCCACAGATCACCTACATTCTCAAGGTCAGGGAGCGTGACTGTTGTGCTTCAGCTACGGATCAAAGTTAACACACGCAGACTGACTTTCCTATGAATTGGCATAAAGCTACCCGTTTACCATGGATGATCTCAAGCACAGCGTGGATCCGTTTTCCCTCAACACACGCAAAGTAATGACCAATAAGTCACTCAAACTTGTGGTAAAGTTGAAAGAGAAGTTTAGATTGTTTAGAATGATAGAAGTCCCTGAGGAAATCTAGTAAGGGAACCTTGAGTTTAGAATTTTGTCAGACTACTAATTCTGAGGTCAAAAATCAGCGTTCAAGCTTTAATGAGTTTTAAAAACATTTATAAACTGCCTGTGAATAATTAGTGTTACGATTATTTTACATCGTTGATTAATGTGAGGTAAAGGGAAACAGATAGCCTGTTGTCTGCCTTTGTCAATGGTTTGAGCAGGAATGATTGAAATGTTTTGTACTGTACGTAAAAAACATTAAAATTTCAACCAAAGGCTTTCTGTCATATTAGTACTCTGCTTGCCTGCATCTTCTGTAAATCTGTAAGAGATCCTTTATTAGTCCCACAGCGGGGAAATATGCAGCATTACAGCAACAAAGGGGATCTTAAGCCACGGTCAGATCTGGGTGCCTCCGACCTTGGAGATAACACATTCTTCCTCCCCCGGCCAGGTGTTTGCAGCTAGAGTGGCTCCCAAACTGAGATGAGACAATGTGTCTGTGTTTTTTATCTTTGTGTGTATTAGCTTTATAAAATGCAGGCTTTCACATCTATGTGTATTAAAATATATTGAAATGACTTATCCCTAAGATATATATATATTACAAAATGTGTAT